GAAGATTAAAAACTTGAGTTTTACTATTATTGACCATTGGTTTTTCCTAGGTTGATGGGACCCTGAGAACTGGAATTTTTAGATAACCAAATGCCCTAATCCCTGGGCATGCCAGATAGAAATAAGGTACAGCAAAACCTGTGCTATCTCCACTATTAAGTTAGGTATTTTGAACAAATATATATAGAAAAAAAGAGAGAAAAACCACGACACACACATTAAAATACATTTGATTATCCGAGCCTTGTATCATTGCAAGTTTGTCTACTCAGCAGCTGGGATTGTGCTTCCCAGGGCAGGAAGATGGGCGCGCAATAACTTTGCTTGAGCTGGTGTGAAAAATTTTAGAGTGGCTGTCCCCATAACAGCTAGCGCTAGCCAGCAAATACAAACCTGTCTAACCCGGAGTATGACTTAAGCTGCCATCCATGACAGTGACCACATTGCTGCTTTAGGGAGCTAACTTGAGCAGAATGTGTGTGTCTGTGCAGACAGTCTTAAAAAGCATCATCAGATATTAAACGTTGAGATTTTGGTAGAATCGTCTCCCACTCTTCAGGCATACACTCTTGTTTTATATTAAGAGAAGTAGGATTTGTTTGTTCTCTTCTCTGCCTTTGAGGAGAGAATTTGGCCCACAAGTTCTGTGACTACTTATGCATAAGTAACAGAAGCCAACTTGACTCTCAGATTATGGGCTAAGTTTGTAGGGCTGCCCAATAATTTTTTTTTTTTTGGAAACGTAACACATTTGGTACACAGTGAAACACGTGTGCAACCCAACAATTTAATTTTTATGGAGTTAATCTGAAGAGCAGAAATGCATGTTAAGGACACCACTCAATGGAGAGTTTCAACAAATTCTTTGAGATATATAAACAGATAACGTGCAACAGAACTACTTCAAACTTCATGCAATGTGGTAACATTAAAATTTTACCATATGTTGCACAGTTACAAAATATCATCCAATACCGTATAATATGTAATTCCTATTCCATACTTCATTTTTGTTGAACCTTAAAAACTGACAGTAAATTCGGAGTGCTTTACATACCGTAGTAAGAAATAGAAATTGTGTAAATTTAGAAAAATTGCTGAGCAATACATTTATGCTGTGGAATACTTAATTTGCTTTAGCATATGAAAAAAATCATTTTGATTTATTTTTACTCACATCTAAGAGAATTTAGTTAAGGATTGTGAAGAATTTATCTATTTATCGATATATATAATGCCAGCAACTAAAGATAATTTATGATACCATATTTACCAATTTGCAGCATTTATTTCTAGCTATTTTAGTTAGCAAGCCACATACAATTATTTTCTTGGTATTTGTTCCATGACATGTAAAGTGAAGTTGATTTTTTTTAAATATATTTCTCCCCCCCCCCCCTTCTGGA